CACTTTGAATCCGTAAAGCCACACGATTAGGAAGGGTGTCCCCAAGTGGAGGCTTTCCTCCCACTCCCCACGGCCCATGTCCTTCCACCTAAAAGAATCCAGGCTTGATCAACTTAACTTATTATCCTCCTGGTTTATGAAACCATTTTCAGACCGCCTCCTTCTTTGCAGTGGCCCTGGAAGGCGGCATCGTCTATACGGCCAGCTCCTGGAGAGTAGACCTGCAGATCTTAGAGCAAGGAAGGATGCTACCAGATCCCATTGAACAAGCATGGGATGGGACTCCTGAACCCCCAGACAGAAAATGTAGCTAAGGGAAAGAATTATTTGAAAAAAGAGCACTTTGCAGGCAAATAAGACTTGCTGGAGGTTTGAGTCTTAGTTCTATGTGAACAGTGAGAGATTGAGCGATAAAGACCTCCGTGTACAGAGCTTGCGGCAAATCCTTATTTATTTCCTATCAGCCGTTGTCACACACTACCACAAAGTTAGTGACTTAAAAACACGGATTTCTTATCTCGCAGTTCTGGAGGTCAGAAGTCTGCATGGGTCTCACTGAGCTAAAATCTAGGTGTCCGTAGGGCTGTGTTTCTTCTGGAGGCTATGGGGGAGAATCTGGTTCCTTGTCTTTTCCAGCTTCTAGAAGCTGCCACATTCCTTGGCTCATGTTGGCCTTCTAGAAATCACCATCGCTCCAACCTCTGTTTCCTTCTTCACATCTCCTCTTTTGGCTCTTTTAAGGACCCATGGGATTACACTGGGGCCACCAGATAATCCAGGATAAACTCCCCATCTCACAGTCTTTAACTTAGTCGCATCTGCAGAGTCCCCTGGCCATGGAAGGTAACACATCACTAGCTCCAGGGTCAGGACACAGACATCTTGCGGACCACTGTTTCTGCCGGCCACACCATGCAGGAGTTTCATTCCTAAATGCGATACGTAGCTTACTCCCTCAATTTTGCTCTTGGTGGTGGTGGAGAGGAGTTTCCTCTCTGCCCAAAGGTAAGAGCTGCTCAGACAGGGGCAGCTTCTTCATTCCTTCCAACCTCCCAAGTCCAAGTCCTAGAAATGCACTCTTCACGCCCACCATGTTGCTGAGAGAATTCTTAATTTCTGAACATGAGCCATTACAGTTAGAATTTCCATCCCTAAATGGTCCAAAATACGGAATGTGCTTTGTTAGATAGTAAGAAATGAAATGAAGAGATTTCGTTAGGTAGTGGGAAATTACTAGTAGAGCGTCTTTCTTGGTTTTGCCTCCTCTCTCTCTAAGCCAGTAACCACAGAAACGTCTAATGCACACTTATCTTATTAAATTCTTTAGCCAAAAGGAAGACAAAAGCACTGCTAAGCCTTGAATAACAATAGGAGCCAGAGCGGACTCTGTGCACGCTCCTGGCACACCTGATTCTAAGCTGCTTTATTGACTCCGATCAGCATTCACACCCAAGTGACCCACGGATGATGCCAGCACCGCCGGCCACTCAAACTCGCTGATTAGATGTACTGTCAGGATACGGACGGATAAGGCTCCCCGTCCACGCCCTTGAGCTTTCTCAGAGAGCGACTCTGTTGACACAGATGTGAGATGAGAAATGCTGACTACACTGTCCATCCACCGGGAGCCCTGAGTTCCGCAACAGGAGAGGTTGGCAACCTCTGACCCCCAATAATCAGAGTTGCTCTTTGGAATGCGCACCTTTCAGAAAATAACGAGCGTCCTGGGCGATGGCTGGGTACGAAATCTCAGGTGTTCACCGGGGTGAGCTTAGGGGTTTCACCTGCCATTTCGTAGTTCTGAGTGTGATGGTTGCTGGAACAACAGCAAAGCTCTCTTTTCCATAACCGGTTATGTTTGAAGTAGACAAAATCTTTAGCGCCCACTGTTCGCCAAATAATAATGGTAAACAGTATTTTTTTCCCAAAAAATGATAGGTGTGGGGCACCTGGGTGGTTCAGTTGATTAAGCGTCTGACTTGGTTTTGGCTCATGTCATGATCTCTGGGTCGTGGGATCGAGCCCCGCGTTGGGCTCCACGTTCCACGGGGAGTCAGCGTAAGGATTCTCTCCCTCTGCCCCTCCCCTCACTATCTCTTACTCTCTCTAAAATAGATAAATCTTGAAAAAAAATTATAGGTGCTACTGTGTCCTGAGAAACCACAGGGGAGGAACAATTGCGGAGAAGCTCCAGGCTATCTCTGTTGGGTTTGTGTCTTTGGGCCTCCCTCCTGCCTTTCTGTCAAGGCCTAGGGCAAAGACCTGTCTGAACCCAGGGCAGGGGTGCTCAGCTTGCTCCGTCCGGTCTGTGGGGAGACAGTAGGGAGAGCACGTTATCGGGAGCAAAACCAGGCAGCGCATCTGCGGTTTCCTCTAGAAGACGGGGCTCTGCCGCAGTGAAGCCGGCCTCGTCAGTGGGCATTTGTTCAGAAATGCGTGCTCCTAACCGGGTCTTTTATTCCCCTGGCGAGTGGCAGTCCCCAGGCTGGCGACAAAAGCTGGCTTGTGGCCTGCCGCAGTCATGGTCCCATCCGGACACAGAAGGCACACTCGGAATAGGAGGGATTAGTCACACACACACACACACACACACACACACACACACACACACACACATTTTGGAAAAGGCTGGGGGAGGGGTACAGGGAGCCATCGATGTCCGTGCAGGTGCCCGGAGTAGTGGTCTCAGTGACCACCCCCAGGAAGTGGTTCAAATCTGTGACCAGAGCCTGAAAAGAGGGTTGTGTGAGGAAGGCCTACTTCAGAGGAGCCGCGACTGTGTCTTGAGGGTGTAGCTGTCTGAGGTGATTTCTGGGGAGGAGGCAGGGACCCCTCTGCTCACCCACCAGGGCTCCCCACTGGCCAAACCCTGTGGGGGTCGCAGGGACGACATGCACGTGGGCGGCCTCACAGGCAGAAGGAGGCTGGGGCCAGGATCCGAACGTGGGACGCCATGATGGGTATGAATGATCCTCTGGAATACTTACTCATTCAACAAACACTCGATTTCCACCCTGTGGGGCGCTGAGGACTCCGAGGTAGCAGCATCTTCCTGAGTGAGGCACCAGGCTTGGGCTGGGGGCTTCACACTTGGAACTGTTACACCGGTCCTGTGAAGGCCATGTTGTTGTCTGCCTCTGACAGGCGGGCTATCTGGAGGGAAGCTGGGCTCGTCCCCGGTCACAGCTGGAAAGCCACACGAGTGTGATTCAGCCACACGTCCTCTCCCCAAGCCCACACACTTCACCTGCCGCCTCTCCAAGCAGCTCCTGCCCACAAGGAAGTCTGACTGGGGAGACAACCAGGCTATCCGTGTCGAAGAATCTCCTTCCAGAACTTTATAGATGGCAGGAGTGGGGCCTGGGGCCCCGGGTGCCCAGGACAAGTTCTTCCCAGCCTTAGGACAAGGACTGAAGGAGCACCACTGCTCTCGAGATGGCAAAAGCAAGACCTTGTGGCGTGAGGCCTGGGGCCACGCAGACCTGGGGAAGTGCCGGTGCCCACAGCGCAGCACGACCAGAATCAGGAACCAGGCCCCGGCCCACAAGAGGGGTGGCTGGGGGCCTGGACCACCGCCAGGGTCTGGGCCAAGCACAGGGTTTTGTTTCATGTGGGCTGGGGCTCAGGGCGGCCCATAACGAGAATGCGAGGCGACAGGCCAGCTTCTGTATTGGCTTCCTGCTCCGGGCAGCAGGGACAGGGTGTCTCTGCGGGGCTTGGGGCGGGGGAGGTAATAAAGCCGACTTCTGCGGATCAGTCAGGCAACATCGCAGCCTGTGGGTGGTTCTCCGGCGTGGGGGGTGTCTCTGAACCAGCGGGGACATCACCTGTGGGACTTGTGACACATGCAGACTCCAGGGACCGTCCCCCCACCCCAAAGTCAGCTGCTGAGAGTGTGGGTTTCGGCAACCTGCTCTCACAGGCCCTCCTGGTGATTCTGGGGCCCACTGAAGTTTGAGGACCATTCCGTGGGGTCACTGATGTGTAACAGAGGCAGGGAGCGTTCAAGGGTTCCCCAAAACAAAGGATTCTAGGATCCGGGGAGGGGCTCTGTGACAGGCACGGGTAGCTACAGGACCTTGTTCTGAGGCAGGGAAATGCCTTGAAACAAGGTATGGGTCAGCTGTCATCAAATTTCAGGGGAGACCAGAGCAGGGGCTGGGCCGGTGGGCATGACGGGTATGCCTAGGATCTAGAAGGTCAAGTCAACAACGCTGGGTTTGCACTGGCTCACTTGGAAGCTCATGTTTTTTTCCTTCCTGCTCTTCCAATTCCCTCCTCGGACAATAAGGCCCTGCTCTGTGGTCGGCACTGGAAACGATGTCGGGGGTGGGGAGATGGACACCCCTAGAGGGAAGCCAAAGATGTAAACCACTGAGCTCTGGGAGCACAGGGAGGCAGACAGGGCTCTGTGAAGGTCCTCTATGGCCAGGTGGATGACAGGTGTAGGAAGGGGCCGGGGCTGACCTAGGAGTTACGTACTGTCTTGTGCATTAAGGACTCTGGGTGGGCGCCCCACGTGCTCAGCAAACTGAGAGCTGGCAAGGGCAGGAGGCCTGTCTGTGTGCCGAAGGGGCTGGAAGGAAGGCCGTCACAGGTAAGGGGAAAGCTGGTCGAATCCTCGCTGTGTTAGGCCCCCTGTGGCATTTCATATTTCCCTCACTGTATCCCCACCAAAGCCCACTGACCGCGTGAGATCATGAAAGGCATGCAAAATGGTTTGGATTTCACCCTGTGGCCAATGAGCAGCCTTTGAAGTGTTTCAAGGAGGAAATGGCTTTGGCACCATTCTCGAAGCCTCTGACTTTCAAGTCTGACCACAATGAGAATGGCCTGCAGAGCTAATTAAAAGAAAATCCGATGCCAGGCCCCACTCGCCAGAGAGAGCTGGAAGGGTCTGGACAGCACGTCTGTCTGCCGGAGAAGTCAGAGAGTCTGAGCGCGGCCTTAGCAAAAATATTTTAATTACCTAATAGTGGTGTTTTGGTTTTCTTTCAGGGATGTCGAAGTCTCGGGTGAGTATCCCTTTTTTTTCTTCTCTGCATAGCTTCATTTGGCAAATTCCAGTCCATTCTGCTCGTTTAAGTTCACAGCTGTGCTCCCTTCACTTACCAGATGTCTATCATCCACGTGAATCAGTGTGAGAACAGTCCTGAGTTTCTGTGTGACATTTCTTCTCTTGAGGAAATGCTAATGTCTAGTCCTTCTCGAACGAACGAAAAAACTAGATGCTTTATTTCACTATTGTATCTGTGTGGTGTGTGAGGGCATAAAAATTTCTGAATTCTAGATCCACTTCGGGTTAGTCAGTCAGTGCCAAGTTACTAAATAGGCATCAACTACTTTCATGCCGTTAGCTTTGTCTGTGACCGTGGCCCAGTGAGGAGCATGTTCAATCTTACACGGTTTCCTTTTCCTTTCCTTTGTCAGGGTTGCTTTGGTTATCCCTTGAGCATCTTCTTCATCGTGGTCAATGAGTTCTGTGAAAGATTTTCCTACTATGGAATGCGAGGTAATGATTTTCACCCTTCTCCCCTTGAGCAAAGAGCCTGAGTTACCACAGTTCCTAACTTTGTCTCCCCTCCCACTCCCCTTGCCCTCTGCCAAAAGCCCTCCTGATTCTGTACTTCAGACGGTTCATCGGATGGGATGATAATCTGTCCACGGCCATCTACCACACGTTTGTGGCTCTGTGCTACCTGACGCCGATTCTGGGCGCGTTGATCGCTGACTCCTGGCTGGGAAAGTTCAAGTGAGTGTTTATAGCTTCCTTGTGAAGAAATAAGCCCAAAGGAATGATAAGCTTTGTGGTTTGGAATGATGGATGGTGGGAACAAAGAATCAAGGCACATCAAACTCTTAGGAGAGCCTGCTAGGCAGTGTTTTGGCTCAGATCCTATCCCCAGAGTCTAGTACAGTGCCTGGCATTGAGCAGTGAGAATGCAGGTAACGCTGGTGAGTTTTTTCCCTCCTCCAAACAATGATAACATCTTTGTCTCCACTTGAAATAGTAGCAGGGATACTATCCATCATTAATCATGTGTGAGGCACGGAATTAAGGTCTAGAGAACACGGAAGTTCCCCGATATATATGCTTGCTACTGGAAGGCTCACATGGCTCACTGGGCAGAGAGGACATGGGGCACTCACCCAGATCTGGAGGAACAGCTCCAAGAGTGCACCCAATAGATAGTTACCGAGAAGTCTCTAGGACTTAATGAGCGAGGCAGTGGAGGCTCTTGTGGGCCAAATTCACGGACTATCTCAAAAGAATTCAATACAATACAAAAATAACCCATGGTCCACTCCAGGCCAAATATTGTTACCAGGCACAAGGTAAGTCTCTCTCACTGTTTAATCATAGATGTTCTCACTTCAGTAGTCAGGTAGAAGAAAACATTGTGTTTTTCAAGTAGTTCAAAGATGAAACAGACCTTTCCCCCTTCCCCTGGCTCCAACCAATGTTGCTGGACTCTTGCTGGCTGAGCGACGGATTGTCCAGCAGCCTGCCTTTCCGAGAGTTACCAGCCTGACTCAGGTTTGAGCAACGAGCATACGCATGACTGGGCTCTTGCGTTTTGAAGCAGGAGGACTTTCTGTGGGAGAAGAGGAAGTGGACGGGTCTTGCACAACTAACTTGGATTCTCTTAACCCGTTTCAACACAGGACGATTGTGTCGCTCTCCATTGTCTACACCATTGGACAGGTGGTCACCGCAGTGAGCTCAATTAATGACCTCACGGACTTCAACCACGATGGAATCCCCGACAACCTTTCTGTGCATGTGTGAGTTGACGTTACTTGTTGCCCTACCCCACCCGGCCACTGGTGGCTTCCTTGGTGCTCGAATGTTTGGTCTTTTTCCTTGAACTTCACCATAAGTGTAAGGAGGTCTTTCCTCCCTCATGAGCAGAGAGAAAGCTGTTTAGTTGACTAAGAGTTGGGTCTTCCAATGTCACCATCCTCAAAGTTGTCCGGAATCACGGCTCGCTTGATGGCTTGCTGTCTCGGGTCCATCTCAACACGAGACATGGTCAGCGTACGGAATACTTGGGTTAATCTTGATCTTCCCTAGAGGGACATAACTCCCATGAACGTGGATCTCTAATTGTGCCAGGTTTCCTCAAGACTCTGTACCTTTGGTTGTCTTCTCGTACCAAACTTCTACTTATTTTTCAGCAATTTGCTTTTGTAAGTATTTGGTCCAGCCCTGTTGTTCTGAGTTCTTGATAGAAAGGGCTATTGACAAATGTTCCTCTGGGAGATTAATTTCCCATTACTGCAGTCTGGCCCAGTAGACAACTTATAAGGATTTATTTTGCTTCTGGTTCTTGTGCCTCAGTTCCTTGATCTATGACTAAACCATCTTATGGGTTGAGAAAGTAGTCACTGAAATTCAAATTAGTCTCTGTAATTCCTACGCTTCTGGTCTGTCGTTAGTCAATCATATTACTGTTTAGACCAGGTCCCTCGTGGCAACACCCGTGGTGCCCACAGTGCACTGTGTTGGTGGAAGGGAGTGGCTTCATGCCCAGGTGGGCAGCTCAGACTTCCAACATCTGATGCCCAGCTACCCACGGAGGAGCCGAAAGTTCCGGGCAGCCCATCTTCCTCGTGCCTCCGCTTTCTCTTCTATAATATCAATTAACAACAGGGACTTTGGAGCCAGGCTAAGTGGGTTCAAATGCTGACTGTGCCTTTTACTAGCTGTGTGACCTTGAGCAAATTTCTTAACCTCTGTGCTCAGGTCTTCTCGTTTTTACTGCTGCCTACCTCGTGTGGGACTCTTGTAGTCCAGGTGAGTGCCTACACGTGGCCTGGCAAGTGAGAAGTGCTCAAGAAAGCTTAGCTACTGGGTGTATTTCGTGGAGTTAGAATTACGGCATGCCTACAAGAGTGCAGGGAGTATCATATCCAATTGGTTGTTTTTGGTTGTCATTTAAAATGCTTGAAGTGAAGAAAACAAAAAAGAAGAAAAACACGAAATAAAAAAGAATGCTTGGAGTGACAGCACAGAGCAGAAATTCTATTAAAAGGCAAAGGAAAGAAATCCTTCAATTAATTCAAGTAGACAAGCATGGTACTTTCAAGGGTCCTTTCTATGTGTAGTATCTTTCTTGACTTTCTCTGTTCCATGAAATATTTTTTAGCATTTTAAAGCCATATTTGCAAACAGGAAGGTATGGAATAAATACTTACAAAACCTGTAATTTGTAGCACGTACTGTAAATCCAACAAAAATGATAAAATGAGGGTTGGTAAATTCTATGAGTGATTTTTTTCTTTTTCAATTCAGGAGGTAAGATACTTACAGATAGCTTAGAAAATAACAAATTAAAGTAACTAACGCTTGGGGTGCCTGAATGGTTCAGTTGGTTAAGTGTCTGGCTTCGACTCAGGTCATGATCCCGGGGTCCTGGGATCGAGCCCCACGTCAGGCTCCCTGCTCAGCAGGGAGTCTGATTCTCACTCTCCTTCTGCTACTCCGCCTGCTTGACTCTGTCTCTCAAGTAAGTAAATAAAATCTTTAAAAAAAAGTAACTAACCCTTAATCTCTTCTGTTACTATAAATAATCCCTTTTATTATTGTAAAAATTATAGTCATAAATCTTATGCTCTACTTCTTTCCTGTCTTCTGTACTCTGTAAACAGATTAAGCTCATCTATAGTACCTGATATTCTGCTTTGTAATTAAGTCGTGTTTTCCAATGTCTTCGAATGACTATTATGAGTCTATTATGACTGTACCGGAGACAGTGCTTAAATATTTCACTTACCCGTTCTTTTAGTGAGAATGATAAGGCTACAGAAGAATCCCATACATAAATCCTTGCTCAGTATTCAAGCTACTGCTCTGCATTTCCGAAATAGTAGGTAATGGCATTAACATGAAGGCCCATGAATTCAACTTTCATTCACCTGTCAAGACTACAATCCTGTGAATCATCTTCTCAAACAAGTTGAGCCCCTTTTCTGTTTAACTACTGTGAGAGTGTGATTTATCATAAAAAGTATATATTTGGTCTTCCCTGCTTGGGGCACAGACCTCCTAAGACCCTTGGTGGGGCGCCTGGGTGGCTCAGTGGGATAAGTCTTTGCCTTCGGCTCAGGTCATGATCTCAGGGTCCTGGGATCGAGCCCTGCATCGGGCTCTCTGCTCAGCGGAGAGCCTGCTCCTCCCTCTCCCTTTGCCTGCCTCTCTGCCTACTTGCGATCTCTCTCTCTCTTTGTGTCAATTTATAAATTTGTGTCAATAAATAAAATCTTTAAAAATAAATAAATAAATAAATCCCTTGGAATTCACTAAGTGAGGAGAGGGATGAAGTGTCTCTTGTTATGTTGATGAGGTAACTTTTGGTCCCCACCTAAGGATGGGGGCTGGCTGCCCAAAGAACCAATCACATGAGGGGTGCCTGGGTTGCTCAGTCAGTTAAGAGGCTGGCTCTTTTTTTTTTTTAAGATTTTATTTATTTATTTGACAGAGAGATAGAGAGAGAGCATAAGCAGGCAGAGTAGCAGGCAGAGGGAGAAGGAGAAGCAGGCTCCCTGCTGAGCAGAGAGCCCGATGCCGGGCTCAATTCCAGGACCCTGAGATCATGACCTGAGCCAAAGGCAGCTGCTTAACCAGCTGAGCCACCCAAGCACCCCAAGAGGCTGGCTCTTGGTTTCCATTCAGGTCATGATCTCAGGGTCCTGGGATTGATCCTTGTGTTGGCTCTGGGCTCAGTGTGGAGTCTGCTTGAGATACTCTCTATCTCTCTATCCCTCCTCTCTCTCTCTCTCAAATAAATAAATAAATGTTTTTTCTTTTTAAAGAACCAATTATGTACCTACCACCAGGCTCACCCAACTGGTGGTGGGTATTATGGAAGGCACGTATTGCATGGAGTGCTGGGTGTGGTGTATAAACAATGAATTTTGGAACACTTAAAAAATAATAAAATAAAATAAAAGCATTACATTCTAGAAAAAATAAAGAACCAATTATATGATTAGGGGATTGGAGCTTTCATTCACACGCACACCACTCCCCAACCTCCATGGAGGAGAAGAGGGGCTGGACATTGAATTAATATCCAGTGGCCAGTGATTTAATCAATCATGTCTGTGTAATGAAGCCTCCATAAAAACCATAGGACTAGGTAGGGAGAGCTTTCACGGTGAGCAAGTTCAGGTAGAGGGCAGGAGCGCCCTGGAGGGGGCATGGCAGACCTGTCCCCCTTCCCACCTACCCTGCCCTGTGCATCTCTTCCAGTTGGGTGCTCCCAAGTTCTATCCTTTCATAATAAACCAGTGATCTAGGAAGTAAAGTATTTCCTGAGCTCTGTGAGCAGCTCCAGCAAATTCCTTGGACCCTAGGAGGAGGTCGTGTGAATCACCGATTTGTAGCCAGTAGGTGAGAAGTACAAGTAACAACCTGGACTTGTGAGTGGCATCTGAAGTTCAAGGAGAGGGTCTTTGGAACCTCCAACACTTATCCATCAGTCAGAAGCCCAGGTGACCACCTAGGTTTGCACCTGGTACCTGATGGGGCTTATTGTTGGGGGGGGGCTGTCTTTTTTTTTTTTTTAAGATTTTATTTATTTATTTGACAGACAGAGATCACAAGTAGGCAGAGAGGCAGGCAGAGAGAGAGAGAGGAGGATGCAGGCTCCCCGCCGAGCAGAGAGCCCGACTCTGGGCCCGATCCCAGGACCTGGGATCATGACCTGAGCCAAAGGCAGAGGCCCCAACCCACTGAGCCACCCAGGCGCCCAGAGGGTGGGGAGGACAGTCTTACAGGACCAAGCCCTTCACCTGCGGAGGCTGATTCCATCTCTGGGTAGATAGTGTCAGAATGGAGTTGAATTGTAGGACACCCAGCTGGTGTCTGAGAAGTGCTTGCTGGTGGTGTGGGGAACTCCCTCCCTACATTGGAAATCGGGGCCAAGAACCCAAAAGCCACTGTGCCTGGTCTTCTGAGGGACATTAAAGGAGAGAGAGGCTCTTGCTTTTAAGAATCTCATATTTCGGGGCGCCTGGGTGGCTCAGTGGGTTGAGCCTCTGCCTTCGGCTCAGGTCATGATCTCAGGGTCCTGGGATCGAGTCCCACATCGGGCTCTCTGCTCAGTGGAGAACCTGCTTCCTCCTCTATCTCTCTCTCTGCCTGCCTCTCTGCCTACTTGTGATCTCTCTCTGTGTAATAAATAAATAAAATCTTTAAAAAAAAAAGAATCTCATATTTCTGGGGCACCTGGATGTCTCAGTCAGTTAAGCATCTGACTCTGGATCTCAGCTCAGGGTCTTGCTCTCAGGGTTGTGAGTTCGAGTCCCACGTTGGGTTCCACACTGGGTATGGAGCCTACCTTAAAAAAAAAAAAAAGAATCTTACATTTCTGCAATAACCCCTCTCCTTCCTCTAGGGCACTGTCCATGACTGGCCTGGCCCTGATAGCTCTGGGAACGGGAGGAATAAAGCCCTGTGTGTCTGCATTTGGTGGAGATCAGTTTGAAGAGGGCCAGGTAAGATCACGCGCCTTCATAGAAACTACATAAATGAGTTACAAACGTCCAGGAATCACATTCCCCTGACACAAAGTCTGTTCTCCATTTGATTCTTTTCAAGGACATTTGAAAGTAGGATACTGACCAAAACTAAGTTAGAAGTGAAGACAGATCATCAATTACATTTTATCCATTGATACATAGCCAGAGTCATATTGTAACTTTTTTCCTTCTTATTACAGGAAAAACAAAGAAACAGATTCTTTTCCATCTTTTATTTGGCCATTAATGCTGGAAGCTTGCTTTCTACTATCATCACTCCCATCCTCAGAGGTAAAAAATATATATCTGAAGAGGACTTCTGTTTTTCTCTTTTTAATTATGGAGAGAAAGTCAGGTGGAAAGCTTAAGTCCTTGTTCCGTGTGTTCATTTTGCCCCTCTTCTCCTGTTACACTTCCGCTGTGGGATACACGCTGTTCACTTTGGAGATTCAGAAGATGAGCTTCTTGTCTTTTCTGATCTTTATTGACCCCCTGATCCCAAGGACCACTGAAGAACCTAAAACATCCCAAGGATAGCAATCAATTTTTCTAAATGATTATTAATGCAAAGTCTTTGTTCACGGTCAAGAATGAGACAAGAGGTGCATTTGGAAACCTCACCTGAATGGGTCATTGTTGACATTTTTGCTTTTCAAGCTTTGCTCCTGGTGACGTTCAGTGAGCTAGGAAGGATTTAATGGGCAAAGTTTTATTCTTTGTGTTCCTCTCATCTCAGCTATTTCTAAAAGAACTGCCCAGGAAAGAGAATGAGACAGCAGCTATCAACAGCTCGCACATTTTTGTGCTGGCTGACACGCCACCGAGAGTTTGTGAATTTCCCACATGGAAGGAGGGAATATTCAGGGAGAGGCTGGACCCAAACAACCTCCTGGTAGACGCCATGCAAAACAGATTAAACGATGAAAGAAAACATTTTATGGGGATTTGTGTATTCCTGCATGGAGTAGTAATTTGACGATAACACTTAAACCCCATTCCAACTTGTTGTGTATAAACATTTATTAGCTTGCATTCTTGCATTAGTTCGCTCCTCTCCCCTCTCCTCCCCTGCCTCCACTTTCCACTAGAATACGTACTATGCACGTCTGAATTGCAGAATGTGTGGAAGGATCATTGAAAAGGTAAAGTCGTGGCTCTCATACAAATGTGAAAGCAAGTGCTGAGATTTTATATGGCTTATTAATTAAGGAGGAAACTGGAATACTGCCACGGTCAACCCAAATAAGCATTTGCTGGACGGAGACTGATACTCTTAACCCTTTTGCATTGCCACAAGCTGGAATCATTTGTACAGCTATGAACGAGAAACATTTGCGTGACTCTCGATTTTCTATGAGTTAACTTCTTTCTCTCCGGAACTGTGAAACAGCTAGTCAAAGACAGAGTCAAACCCCCTTTTGGATCAGATTATTCCTGGAGGCTTCGTTCCATGGAAGGAATTCCCAATAATCTCTGTTGCTCCTTCCGAAGTCTGTATTTTCCTCCTACCAGCCCTAGGATCTCAGAGCTAAAATAAATCTGCAGTCAGGGGTTAGCAAACTATGGCCGAGGGCCCAGATCTGGAAATCTGGACAAGACCATCCATTTGTCTATTGTCTATGGCTGCTTTCATTCTACAAAGTCAGGGTTGGGTAGTTGAAACAAAGACTAAATCATCCACAAAGTCTAAAATATTTACTACTTGGCTCGTCACAAAAAAGTTTATTGACCCCCACCCTGGGCCATCTAATTGCTTTCTAATTAGCATGAATTCAGGAATACACAATCTTGATTTCCCAGGGTACTTTTGGTTTTATTTACCGAGTCCCCTATCGTAAGTTACTGTATCCAGGTCACTTCTATCTCCCCCACTAAGCAAATCCACTTAAGGGTTCCCACTGATTTTGGCTTGGCTAATACCAGCATCTATTTCAGGTCTAAGATTAGAAGCTGTGTTCAGCTCCTACTCTTTTTACTCCAAAGCTGTTTGGCTCAGTGGGCAATGAAATCAATGAGGCAAATGGATGTGTCTAGAACATTAAGTGAAAACAATATGTAATAACCAGGTAGGGATTTTTGAAAAGGTAATCATATGAGCATTGCCAATGCCATCATGGATTTTAATCTTGTAATTTCTCCTCAGTTCAACAGTGTGGAATTCACAGTAAACAAGCATGTTACCCACTGGCCTTTGGGGTTCCTGCGGCTCTCATGGCCGTGTCTCTGAGTAAGTAGAAATTAGTTGAATTAATACAATCCTAGGATCAGGTCAGACCCTCCTGTTAATTATTGCAACCAATTTGTGGAAGGTCATGGGACAAATCGTACTAAGAATTCCCGGGCTCTGAGAATCAAAGTAGAGCTAGCGTATTGTTTCAGAGGGAACAAGGTGAGAAAAGGGTCTACAGGAACCGGGATCTCTTGAGCTGGGCACTGAAAGGTTTGATACTATTTAGGCAGACTAAGGTAGAAGTGATGGGCTCCGTTAGACTCGACGACCCCGGGGGCCGAAAGCATTTGTTCTCATCCACGTGTGCTCATCTCCAGCTTGCCCGAGACCAGGCAACCTGGTCCAATTCCTGCTTAAATACTTCCAGCGAGTGTCTAGATTTCCATAAAATATCGTCTCAAAGTGTTTCCACCAGAGGGGACGCCTGAGTGGCTCAGTCGATTGGGTTGTACTTTTCTCTGATATTTTTTTTTTAAAGATTTTATTTATTTATTTATTTGACAGACAGAGATCACAAGTAGGCAGAGAGGCAGGCAGAGAGAGAGGAGGAAGCAGGCTCCCTGCCGAGCAGAGAGCCCAACATGGGGCTCGATCCCAGGATCCTGGAATCATGACCTGAGCCGAAGGCAGAGGCTTTAACCCACTGAGCCACCCAGGAGCCCCTCTGATATTTTTTAGTTTTGAAGAGCGCTGAGTGTGCCCACTTTAACCCTGTTTGCCCAGGTTGTAGCCATCTCTCTTTATCCATGCACCTGTGCCAGAGCTCAATATTTCCCCCTTTCCTGTGCCTATTTTCTTCCATAATTCCAAACAGTGCCCCCCTCCCCTAAAAGGCTCATATATACCTTCTCCTCTCTGATGCTGAGTAAGGAGATAGACAGGATTTCAAAAACTACTGTTCTAGGCCAAACACTGTATTCAGTTGGCATTAGGTAAATTTTGATTTAATCCGTCTGAGTCATTCTAACATCAAAGAGTATGTTCTAGTAGTAATAAGCTTCAGTGTCTGTGTATGAGAACACAAATACAACATCGCTCGGAAACTCCAGCGAATGTTAGGACCCAAAGCACTTTCTAATCGGGGAGATAGGCAGGCAAGCCCGTTCTGTGAGTAATCTCAGTATATCCAAAACAAGGTTATAACTCAAATAAAAGCACATCTTCTAGGTCCCAGGTAGTTCTGTCCAATGCCTTGTTAACATGTCTTCTTTTCCTTCCCAGTTGTGTTTGTCCTTGGCAGTGGAATGTACAAGAAGTTTCAACCCCAGGGTAATGTCATGGCTAAGGTTGTCAAGTGCATTGGTGTAAGTATTTCGGTAGTTCTCTCTCTCTCGAAGACATTTAGTCACCCCAGAACCTTCTACTGCCTTTAAAGTAAAATGCAATGGAGCATTGACTGTTCTTTAAACATTTTATTATTGCTCTTAGCTGTTGCGATAAACTGAAGTTTCTTATAAAACTCGCCAAACGGAAAAGGACACAAATGGAACTCAAACAGGGAGGGATAGAAAGGGATTTTGAACTGTTCAGTTAGATGGGTGGTCAAAGAAAGGCAAAGCAGAGCGACTCTCAGTGATCAAACAGGCAGCCCCTGGCTGATGTCGGTCAGGAAGGCGTGAAGCCAAAGGTGGGAGTCATGGTTTCATGCTGTGTGTCATGGATCTGAAGTATGTAAAGTCTCAGGAATTAAGGCAAAGAAAATAAGTTTTTAAATGAACACACTAAATGGGGGCACCTGGAGGCCTCAGTTGTTTAAGCACCTGCCTTTGGCTCAGGTCATGAACCCAGGGTCCTGGAATCAAGTCCTACATCAGGCTCCCTGCTCAGTGGGGAGTCTGCTTTTCCCTCTCCCCTGATATGCTCTCTCTCTCTGGCAAATAAATCAATAAAATCTTTTAAAAATGAACAGATACACATATAAAGATTATCACTCTAATATTTATAACAGCAAAAATTCATAACACCAAATTGCTGGAAACAGAAGAACAGTGCTGAACTCATAGTGCATCTTACACAGCCATCGGAAGCCTTGTTTTCAGACTGGTGACAGGAACATTCAAGATATGGTTTCTTCTGTATGCATCTATGTGGTATATGTCCATACGGGTATACTTAAAGGCAGAAAATAAATGTTGAGTGTAGGGAATCTTCCTAAAAAGGAGTCAAATAACTCTCCTCCCTATATAGTCTCCATTTTTTTTTTTAAAGATTTTATTTATTCGACAGAGAGAGACACAGTGAGAGAGGGAACACAAGCAGGGGGAATGGGAGAGGGGGAAGCAGGCTTCCCACTGAGCAGAGAGCCCGATGCGGGGCTCGATCCCAGGACCCTGGGAATCATAACCTGAGCCGAGACTTTGGGACTCATAACCTGAGCCAAAGGCAGACACTTAACGACTGAGCCACCCAGGTGCAGCTATAGTATCCATTTTTTAAATATACAGACCATTGTGGAATCGGGGGAAATGTATCACTTATCTATTTAAAAAAAAAAACCCACATGTGTGGATAGTCTTGGGTGAAAAGACAGCCTTAAAATAATTTTAGCCCTGGGACACCTGGGTGGCTCAGTTGGTTAAGTGGCTGCCTTTGGCTCAGGTCATGATCCCGGCCTCCTGGGATCGAGTCCCACATCGGGCGCCTTGCTCATCAGGGAGCCTGCTTCTCCCTCTGCCTCTGCCTGCCATTCTGTCTGCCTGTGCTTGCTCTCTCTCCCTCTCTCTCTCTGACAAATAAATAAATAAAATCTTTAAAAAAAAAATAATTTTAGCCCTTTATTTGCCCTTTACTTGGCTTTATTGCATTAAATTATACATGTGTACGTTACGTCGTGAAATAAATGTGTCCTATCAAGGTCGGAAAACCTCTCTCCTCTTGTCGCTGTTCCTCCTGTACTTTCCCCTCACATGAGATCAATTCCCACTACAGATGTTTTTTTCTACGCTAAAAGCAGATCTTACCAATTCTCTCTCCAAGTCCTTCCTTAACAAGGACTTGACAACTTAAACAACGAAAGAACAAGAAGCTATTTAGAGTCGCAAGAATCGTACTTCCCGGTGTTCTCGAATCAGCTGTGGCTTTGAGTCCCTGCCCGGCGGTCACACGTGTGTCCCCAGCCACCTGGGGCATCGCTTTCTCTTGCTGCCTGTATGGTGGACCTGCGTCCTCAGCCTGGTAGCCACCAACCACGAGTGGCTGTCCCATGTTTGAAATGTGGCAAGTGCAACCGGAAACTGAGTTTTAAGTTGCATTTCATTCAAATTAATCTAAATTACATAACTTCATATAAATTTATTTCTGGATAGTGGGTTCTCAGTCTTAAATTTTAAAACCGTTGCTCCACTCAGTGAGTGGAATTAAGTATCTTTGGAACAATTTAGGTATATAAATTGACATTTCAAGACATAAATTTTATGAAAAGTAAACCCAAATCTAACATTTCTGATAAAAATTGAGCATCCACATTGAGATGTTCCAAAAGTGTAAGATATACCTTGGATTTTGAAGACTTGAAATGAAAAAAAAATGTAGAATTTCTCATTAATTTTAATATTTGGTAGGATTAATAATTGTTTCCATAATTATTTTATGATTGATTTACCATTACTGTTAATTTATTACCTATTAAGATCATATTTGGGGTTTATTGGGTTAAATAACAGAACATATTTAAAATTAATTTCACCTGTTTCCCTGTTACTTTTTTACACTTATATATATTTTTATTTTAATTATTTTAATTCTGGTACAGTTTTTTTTTAAGATTTTATTTATTTAAGAGAGTGAGAATGAGAGATTTTATTTATTTATTTACTTACTTACTTATTTGAGAGTGATCTAGAACCCTGAGATCATGACCTGAGCCAAAGGCAAATGCTTAACCGACTGAGCCACCCAGGTGTCCCTATTTCTCGTATGGTTGAGGCACTGTAGTATATCAGTTTCAGGTGTATCTGTGTATATTTTTAATACAGCTACCAGAAAACTAAAATCACAAATGGCACACATGATATTTCCATTGAATGCTCCTCTCCAGAGGGCGTGGAGAGTAAAGTGGTAACAGTGTGACTTTGTTTACCCCACTCAGAGTCTTATAGTTAGGAAGAGATTAGAAATAAATGCAGGTTATGCCTTTTTGTGTCATCGTTACACTAATGTATACAATTTTATATCCGTCTTTTCTCGGGAACACAGTTTTCCCTGAAAGGCAGTTTCATTGAAATGCATTTTCCTGGTAAAGAAGTTGGTTCTGTTTTGAAATTTGATTTCTCTTCCTTCTTTCAGTTTGCCCTCAAAAATAGGTTTAGGCACCGGAGTAAGGAGTTTCCCAAGAGGGAGCACTGGCTGGACTGGGCTCGAGAGAAATACGATGTAAGTGGTCAGTCCTGCCGTGGTGGCCCAGGGTCCCCCTCCAGGAGGCCAGCAGCCTGGGCGAGATTCCTGTGACTCAGGCCACATGCACAAAATAATCAGCTGTAGCCTTGTAAACTCGATTAGGGTTTTAAATAAGACTACGCAAGAGTGTTTTTTAATTTGGAGCAGAGCTTGATAAACAACGGGTAGAATTTCTCTGGAAACCATGTTATCTTTTCATAGTTTTTCATTTGGCGTAATCGGTCATTAATTATATGTGACTGTGATCACACAACTAGTTTGAAAACAGAAGAGTCGGTGGAGGGTGGGGTTTTCATTTCTTGGAAGTACATTTAACTTCTAGTAAAATGCCTTCTAAGCATTTTTAAATAGCTGAAGAGTTTGGGGGTTTCTCAAAAAAAAAAAAAAATCTGGGGTAGGATTCCTTGGAACAATTAGTCACCTCCCAGCTTGGCTCCGGTTGCAAGTAGGTCCAGCCTAAGACAACGTCGCTGATCACCGTGAGCGACGCAGGTCATGGCTGATTTGTCCTTTCCCCACTTCATCAACAGGTGCGGCTCATCTCTCAAATTAAGATGGTCACCAGGGTGATGTTCCTGTACATTCCACTCCCAATGTTCTGGGCCCTGTTCGACCAGCAGGTAGTGTGACATGATGTTTCAGTACAAATGTCTGTATTTAGCCGAGGTCCAGTGGATGCTACCACGGACTGGGTAGTAGCTAGTATTTACCTCCTAGAGACGTTCTCTTCTGGTTTCTTTTTTATGCTTCATTTATTTTTAGATCACACTGAGTTTCCTTTTTTTTTTTTTAAGATTTATTTGAGAGAGACAGAGTGTGTATGTGCGTGTGCACACGTGTGCCCGTGCAAGTTAGGGGAGGGTTAGAGGGCGAGAGAGAGCTCCAAGCAGACTACCTGCTGGGCATGGAGCCCAACCTGGGGCTCAGTCCCTCGACCCATGAGATCGTGCCCTGAGCCAAAATCATGAGTCAGATGCTCAACCAGCTGAGCCCCCCCAGGCACCCCACGCTGAATTTCCTTAAAACAAAACAAAACAAAACAAAAAATTCTAGATGGTTCTCTCCACATTTCTGTTGCAAAACAATGAAGAAAATTAGGTGTGTAAAGGAGACCTGGGAAAGATTTGATCAAGGTATGTACAACTCTTACCCATCAAACTAAGAATAAAGAATTAGTTTTTCTGAAACAGTATGCTCAGAGGATGTACAATATTGCCTTTTATGGGATCCATAGAACATTTAAGGTGAGAGGGGCTTGGTACCTCTCGTGCTAAAACAGAACGCATAAGATAGCAGTGCTTTCCAGGACTGCAGATGATTGCCCAAGCCATTCTGACCAGAGCAAGGAACTGGAACCCAGCTCACCACCTTGTCGCCCTGCTCTTACTCCAGCAGATGTAGAAATTTCTCAGATTTGGGTTAAACAACTCAATGCATGGTACTCAGTAACCAAAGTTATAAGATATTGTTTCTTCTAGAAACTGGAGCTTCAAAAAAATTTATAAGGTTTTATTGTGCAGGAAGGATTATTTTTTTAAAGATTATTTATTTATGAGAGAGAGAGAGAACGTGCATGAGCAGGGAGAGGGGCAGAGAGAGAGGGGGAAGCAGGCTTCCCACTGAGCAGGGGGCCATACACAGGGCTCCATCTCCGGCCCTGAGCTGAAGGCAGTAGCTTAATCAACTGAGCCACCCAGGTGCCCCCAGGAAGGATTATTATAAGGGCAAAACATCTCTTGGAAAAAATTTGAACAAACACACCAATCTCCTTATTGCAAGTATGGGATTTAGACCAGCATCTTACGCACAGGGAGGCAAATTTGCATGTCGAGTAAAAACCAGCTCTTGGAATCAGACCTGCACTAGAAATACACTCATTGCCTTTTAGTGGTGTGCCGAGGGGGAGTCCATAACCCTCCTGGAAGGTTAATCACCTGTGACAAGGCTGTGGTGATCAAATGAGAGACTGTGGATAAAGCGATCCATGGCTGGCATCTGTTAAGAACTCAAGTATGGGGCGCCTGGGTGGCTCAGTGGGTAGAGCACGCAATTCTTGATCTCAGTGTCCCGAATTCAAGCCCCACGTTGGGTGTAGAGATTACTTTAAAAAAAAAAAAAAAAGAATTCAAGCAGTGGCCTATTTCCTGACTTTCCATGATGCCTTTTAAATGGAGTTGACAGATTATGTTGAAACTCATATGTGTTCAGTCCTCCATGGAAATAGTCATGTGTACGTGAACAGTCCTGAGTCTCCTTTATACAAAATAGGTTGAACGTAACTAGGCTGCCCAGGTTGAAATCCATCGCCCTCTGGACGGATTTCCACTGAGGACAGCCTAGACTGTCAGAAATGGCCCTTAGGCAATAATGATGTTCTTGAAGCTGTGATGCCAGTGAACGGACGCCTCCTCCACCTTGCAGGTGACGTCATGCTTTCCAACAGGTCTCAGATGGACATCTTGGTGTTTCCTAAGGATAGCTGCATCTCAGAGTAGCGCTTTGTAGGTTCTTCATTGGGGGTGGTGTGTGGAGGGGGCGGGGACAACTAGATGTCATGTTACTTTCCGCAGCAGAAACACAAGGGGTTTGGTTTTACCCAGTGTTCCAGTGCAGCTGGAAGATAAACTTGATGTTGGAAAAAACATTTAAATCCCATAACACTCCAGACTTCGTTCTGGATCTGGAAAAGACTCAACCTTGGCTTGTAAAATGTTTAAACCCCCGTCCCCAAATGATGCATTGAACGTATTTGTTTTTCAGGGCTCTAGATGGACACTGCAAGCAACAGCCATGAATGGGAAAATTGTAAGTCCGGGGTATCAAGCTTCTCTACCTCCCCCGGTCACTGCTCCTTTGCTCCAAACCCTTCGCCCCCTTTCCCCGTCATGATGTTCTTCATCCCCCCCAGCTGATCCTCTGTGGGAACCTCTCAGTAAGACTTGTCCCCCCTCTCTTTAGGGAGCTATTGAAATTCAGCCGGATCAGATGCAGGTAGGAAGAAAATACTTAAGTTGCCTTCTGAGTTCAAAGTCACCTTTGAGACCACGGCTAACGGTTCATGTCCGCTCCCCCCGCAGACCGTGAACGCCATCTTGATTGTCATCATGGTCCCCATCATGGATGCCGTGGTCTATCCTCTGATTGCAAAATGTGGCCTCAATTTCACGTAGGTGACTGGCAGGTTCGGGGTGGGGTGAGGAAAGAATGTGTCCCCTCCCACCACACCACCTAGATGATGGGGTTTTTAAAGAATTATACTAGAATTAGAGGCTGGTGTGCTGATGTTTCTGGAAATTTGCCCTTAAACTGAAAGTTCTATTAACGGCAGCCAGAAAATCCTCTAATTAAAGTGTTTCATATATGTAGACAATGGACATGTTAATGTTCATCCCAAGTATCCCCTGAGCTACAGTTTCTAGAAATTAAATGTAAAAATGCAAATTAAAGGCTCTATTACCATTACCCCTCTTAGTCTTGATCATAAATAAGAGAGCATGAGACAATTTCATTTGGTGTTTCCTAGGGAAGCTAGTTTTGTTTGGGTGGGTGGTGGGAAAGGAGCGTGATCGCTCGCTGGTATGAGGCTGGCGGAGAGTCATTCTTCCCTGTGTCTCCCAGCTCCTTGAAGAAGATGACAGTTGGAATGTTCCTGGCTTCCATGGCCTTTGTAGTGGCGGCAATCGTGCAGGTGGACATTGACGTAAGTTGCCCTCTGATTCCCCAGGGGCCTTTCCTGCAGGTCGGGTGGGGCATTCAGAAGGCGTCTTTCTCCGGGACCGCAGGGAGGCCAGGGGCTAAGGCAGGGAGGTCCTGGAGCTAGGGACCATGTGGAGACGCCACAGGGGCAAAACGGTCCCTCCAGGCAGCGTGCACCGTGGGTGTTCCGCACTGTGACAGGGCAGCCGGGAGGAGGGTCGGACGGCTGTGCTTTGGCAGGGGCAGGGGGATGGCAGTAACACGGGGAGTTTCTGTGGACACGGTTTTTGTAATGGGAGTTGGAGTTTGTAGAACTTCTTTCACAATCTGAACGCCTAGGAAGTCTGGGGAGAGGGTCATCCCTGTCAAACGGGCAGCCTTTTTAAATGTTCCAGCTGTCTTCGGGAAGATGCCTTTTGTAATCTCGTGTTTCTAGTGATATTAGTTCGTTCACACGCCGCGGTCTTCAGTCTGCCGGATCCGCGGTGGCACCAAACCAGACTCCTGGCGTCCTCAGTGTGAGAGCAGGCTAGAAGCGGGTGTTGTGTAGTGTGTGAGACAGGAGGTAAACGCTCTCCTCCTGCTTCTCCCCTTCTCCTTTCTCTGTCTCCTACCCTCAGTCTCTGTGTGTGTCTCTCTCTGTTTCTGTCTCTCTCCTTCCTTCCTTCTCTCTAATTTTTCTTTTTAAATTTTTAGGTGTGATAACATATAGGGAACAAAAATTTACCATCTTACCCATGTCTCAGTGTACATTCAGTAGTGTTAAATGTGTTCACGTTATTGTGTGACTCATCTCCAGAAAACTTTTCATCTTGCCAAACAAAAACTCTGTGCCCGTTGAAAAACAACGCCCCACTTCCCCTCCCCGCCCCCCACCAGCCCGGCACTCACCATTCTACCTTCTGTCTGCATGGAGTTTGTCTGCTGCTGGTACTTTCTGTAAGTGGATTTGTAGAGTGCCTGTCCCTTGTGATTGGCTGATTTCACGGAGCCTGATTTCCTCGAGGTTCATCCATGTCACAGCGGGTGTCAAAATTTCCTCCTTTTTTTTTTACAGTGGAATCATAGTCTACTGTTGGATGGACAGCGTTTTGTTGGTCCGTCTGTTGATGGGCATTTGAGTTGTTTTCACGTGTTAGCTACCGTGTGTAGGGCTCCTGCTCATGTGGGTGTACTCGTTTGCTCCTGAACTTGGCTAGCTTTGTGCAAAATGCATTGTGAAACTAGGATAGACTTTAGAATAGAATAGGTTGCTTTAGGGACCCTGGGATTGGAGAGAGAGAGTGCTGTGGGGAAAAGGCAGGAGCCCTGAACAAATGTATGGAGGCGGGAGGCATAGATCACTTGTGAAAGGAGGTTTAGGGCACGGTCAGGCCGTGGCCGTGGCTTCCAGAGTTAGAGGGGACGACACTGGCCTCCCAGGAGAGCAGATCTCCCATGCTATAGCAAGATACACACTCATTTGGGTTGTGTTTGCTCTGACCCTCAGATAGGAGGCTTCATTTCCTGGCATCCTTCAGCCTGGAGATGTTAGGACCAAGGGCAGCCTCTCTGTGATCACTTCCCTGTTCTGTATAAACATCTTCCTCTGGGTGCTGTGAGACGAGTGATGGGAAACCTCGAGGGGGTGTTTGATCTCTTGGCCGGGACAGCTTTCCACGGCTGGTGGGTGGGGGTGCTGGTGACGGGGCCAGGCTGATCTTCAGTCAGCATGGAAGACATCACTGCCAGCTTTCTCTTATTTTGCTCAGAGAACTCTCCCAGTCTTCCCCAAGTCAAATGAAGTCCAAGTTAAAGTGTTGAATTTAGGGGACAGTAACGTGACGGCATCTTTTCCTGGAATGGAAGTAACACTTCCCCAGATGAGTCAAGTAAGTAGAAAGAAATGCAACTTTCTCTTTTCTCTTCTGACCTGAGTTATAATAGGCTTGGGAGACACTGATCTTCTTGATCTTTATGTAATTCCTACAAGTATGGAAGTGAACTGCCTTAGTATCTCGGTCTCTTTGGGCTTCGCACTAGACCAGTGTGCCTCAGACTTTAATGGGCATGTGAATCGCCTGGGGAATTTGTAAAATTTTGCATTTTTAACATGCTCTCAGGGGAGGGGTGCCGTGGTTGGTGCGTGGAACCACACTTTAAATAGCAAGGCTCTGTCTGTGGTTCTCTACCATTTGGCCGCCTCAGGGACATCTGGCAATTTCTGGAGACAGTTTTCAGTGTCACAATGGAGATCCTGCTGCTATTGGCATTTCAGAAGGAGGAAACCAGGGAGGCTGACGCACAGTTCCACAACCTAGACTTATCTGGTCCCAAATGTCAGCCCAGCCCAGGCCGGAAAGCCCTCATCTGGATGGTCACTGGTCTGAATTAGAGGTTTTTAACCTGAACTCCATGTTAGAATCACCTGAAGAGCTCTGAAAATTCCAATAGCCCAGAGGTTTGGATTTACCTGGTCTCCTTCCTGTTCAGCCACAGTGAAGAGCTGCTCCCTTGGAGTTTATGAAACTGACGATCTTATAGAAAAAAGAAAAGTTGACTTCTGGTGCCTGGAGCAGCTCCAGACTGATTTCCTCCCGGGTTATTCCTTTATCCCTGATGCTGTTTTCTGCCCCATGGTAGAGATGATTTCCAGAACATGTATTTTCAGAAAAAGAAACAAAAAGTAAAGTGCTGTGCAAAAAGCCTAATTCTTGCGTAACACGAGACAACGTCATGATGGAGTCCGTGGTGGGGGAGGGGCGGTACTGAGACAATCCGACACCAGCTCCCACAAGACATTTTTTGATGCTTGTGAATGTGAACCGAGGCAGAGCGAGACTCTATGGTATTAACTGTGACTTCTTCTCTCCCAATGCAGACAAATGATTTCATGACTTTTGCTGGAGACAAACTGACAAGTATAAACATTTCTTCTGGTTCATCAGTCTATGCGGTGACTTATAACTTTGAGCAGGGCCATCGGCACACCCTTCTAGTGTGGGCCCCCAATAATTCCCAAGTGGTAAGTCATTGGACACCTACAGCTGATTCTTTACTGTGTGTGATGTCGGCGACAGAGCCTTTCAGTTGTGTGCATTGCTTTAGCCCAGGTAGTATTGTGAGAGTTAGTCCTCAAGTTCTTCCTTCTTTGAAGATACAAGTCATTTGACTTCGAAGAAAACATTGGTGGATGGGAAGGGTTAATATTCATTTGAAAATTAATTTAAAAATTTAAAAAGAACTTTTGTGGGGGAGGTGCCTGGGTGGCTCAGTCAATTAAAGTGTCCGACTCTTGATTCCAGCTCAGGTCGTGATCTCAGGGTTGTGAGATCGAGCCCTGCATCGGACTCCGTGCTGGGTGTGGAGCCTGCTTAAGATTCTTCCTATGCCTGGCCCCCACACCCTCCCTCCAAAAAAAAGAATCTGAGGGCACGGTGGAGGGTGTGTGTGAGAACATGCAAGTCACACAGAGTACATAGGTGCATTCTTAGCAACTTCTTGAGATAAAATTTTACATACATCTTAAATTGTATTGGTTAAAAAATCACACTGGGTAATTGGAAAATTAAAACAGTCTCTGAAAAGAATATAGTGAAAATATCAGGCAAAAGCAATAAAAATACATATGAGATATTTCATGACAAAATATCAGCATCTAGATGGGCCATGGAGCATATTAGGAAACCGTGGAAGTAGAGTTGAACTGAGTGGAGGAGTGGGAGGTGTTCTGTGAGGTGACCTTCTGTGACCTTCTAGAAAACTGCCGTATGGAATTAAGACTTCTTGGTCGTGTATTTTATTAGGGAGCTCTTGAGTGATTTGTTCTCAATTCTTGGATAGTCATGTTCTGTGGAAGCACTAGAAAGCAAACATCAAAAATTGTAGAGACTCATTTCACCTCCAGGAGAATGGGGACTGAAGGACGGAGCTCTGCAAATGTTATCATACGCCCTTAGCTCCTAGGATAAATGTCAACATCGCTCTCCTTCTCAAGTGCTGAAATGGTCATCTAAATGTATTCTAATGGATTAGATTTGAAAATGCTTTCTTTCTCAGGTAAAGGATGGCCTTAACCAGAAGCCAGAAAAAGGAGAAAATGGCATCAGGTATGTACTTTTCTTTAAAACTCAAGTCTTATCAGCTTCTTATGGAAGTAATGCCTTCCCATAGTAAAGTCCCACTGCGACAAGGCTGTAAAATGAGAGTATAGGAATTTACCCCAACAATGTAAGGCGGTTCAACATTCTTAAAAATATCAATCGATATCATCTATCATCTTAATAAATTAAAGAGACAAATCCGTATCATCATATCCATGGATGCAGGAAAAGCATTTGATAAAATTCAGTGTCCATTCATGATTTAAAAAGAGCCCTCAGCAAACTAGTAATTGAAGGGAACTTCCTGACTCTGAAAAAGGATGTCTAAAAAACCCAAGCTACCATTATAATGAATGAAGAAAGTCTCAATGCTCTTCCCATAAGATTGTCCACACCCTCCACTCCTTTTCAACATCCTTCTGGGCACCAGTGCAATGAGACTGGAAAAAGAAGTAAAGCATCTTAACTGGAAGGAAAGAAATAAAAACTATTCCTACTTACAGATGACATAAGGACCTGCACAGGAGGTCCCAAAGACTCTACCAAAAAAGTTCATAGACTCAATAAGTGAGTTTAGATATGAGTGTAGAAATGTTACAAAATATAAGATCAACAACAAAAATCATATTTCTATGTGCCAGCCATGAATGATTGGAAACTAAAAAATTAAAGCTATACAATAGCTCCCAAAAAAGACAAACTACTAGGTACAAAGCTAATAAAAACATATATGAGATTTGAGAACTAAAACTACAAAAGGCTTATGGAAGAAATTAATGACGAGTGAAATCAATGGAGAGATCTGCTGGCTTCATTGATTAGAAGGCTTAATAGAGTGACAATGTCAGTTGTCCCCAGATGGACCCATAGGGTTAGTGCAATTATTATCAAAATCATAGCGTTATTTTTCTATGATTTTTTCCAGTTTTACTGAGGTATAAATGACAAAATCAATTATATTTGAAGTGGACAATATGATTCAATGTATGTATCCACTGTGAAATATTTACCAGAGTCAAACTAACACAATCACCTTATAGTGAACTTGTGTGTGTGTATGTGTGTGTGTGTGTGTGATAAGAATGCTTAAGACCTAAAAAAAAAAAAAAAAGAATGCTTAAGATCTAACTGCTTAGCACATTTGAAGTATACAATGTAGTATGACGTACAGTCACCACATTGTACATTCGAACTTACTCATCATGGAACTAAATTTGTACCTTTCACACAACGTTTCCCTGCTTCCCACCCCGCGGGTCCTGGCAATCACCAGTCTACTCTTTTTTTCTATGAATCCAACTGTTTTTTAGAATCCGTATGTACGCGATACCATGCAGTATTTGTCTTTGTCCGGCTCGTTTTCACTTACTGTTTCTAGGTTCATCTATGTTGTCACAATGGCAAGGTTGCCTTCTTTTTAGTGGCTGAGTAATGTGTCCTTTTAATATATACATATAGATATGTAGATGTAGGTGAATTCGATTTCATTCAAACTGAAAACATTTATTCTGCAAATCTCACTGTTAAGAGAATGAAAAAGGTAAGCTACATGCTGGTATAAAATATTTACAAATCACATATCTGACTAAGTATCTGCATCCAGAATATATAAAATACTCTCGAAACATAATATTAAGGAAATAATCCAGTTTAAAAAGAGCAAAAGATTTAGACATTTCACCAAAGATATACAGATGGCAAAGAAGCACATGAAAACAGGCTTGACATCATTGGCCATTAAAAAATATAAATTAAAACCACAGTGAGTTGCATGACATACCTATTAGATGGATTTAATCATTTTTTTTTAAACTGACAATACCAAATGCTGGGGAGGAGACAGGACAACCAGAACTCCCATGCTCTAGCACGGGAGTGCAAAATGGTACAGCCATTCTGAAAAACAGTGAGGCAGTTTCTTATAAAGTTAAGGCTATACTTACCACACAACCCAGCTATCCGGTTCTCAGGTATTTATCCTAGAGAAATGCAAACTTATGTCAACATAAGAACCTAAACATAAATGTTCATAGAAATTCTATTCGTAATTGCCAAAGATTGGAAGTCACCCAATGACCTTGAGTGGGTGATGGATCAACAGACAATTGACTATAGACTATACTACATCCATACAACAGAACAGTCCTTAGGAAAAAGGAACTAGTGATACAGGCAATATAAATTAATTTCAAACGTATTGTGCCATGAAAGAAGCCTGTCTCAAAACTTACATAGCTACTGTGTAATTCCATTTATGTGACATTCTGGAAATGCCCCCCCACCAACAAAAGATAAGAATGTGGGAACAGATCAGTGGTTGCCTTGGGTTAGGAGTGGAGGAGAGGTTTGGCTGTGGGTCTGCATGAGGGAGACGCAGGGGCCGATGGAACTGGTCCATATCTTGGCAGTGATGGTGCTTCTCTGAATCCAGACATGTGTTCAAATTCATAGAACTGTACACCAAAAAGCCAATTTACTGTAAATATGCTTTTTAACAAAGATTTTATTTATTTATGTGAGAGAGAGCATGAGGTGGGTAGGGTTAGAGGGAGAAGTAGACTCCCTGCTGAGCAGGAAGCCCGATGCAGGGCTCGATCCCGATCTTGGGACTCTGGGATCAGGACTTGAGCTGAAGGCAGACACTTCACCAACTGAACCACTCAGGCAAACCTGAAAATATACTTTTTAAGTAAGATTAGAAAATCTGAATAAATTGGGGGAGAAACGAGGATAGGGCTCCTATTGGCCTCAACTCTTACAGCCAATCTCTGTTTCCCTGTGACACTCATTAACAATTTCAGATTTCAGCTTTTACCAGTTACCGGTGAAACATGAACTAGTGGAGGGAAAGTGTATGATTAGGAGGATGAATATTAACTTACTAATGGAAATTGTGAAGAAATGGAATTAACTTTTCATCTCTCTTTACCTCTGGCTTGTTTCACATTGTTAACATTTGTAATGTTTATCTTTGTGTGTTCTCCATGTGCTAGGTCAATTCTACAAATGATTAATAAACAGGATTTACAAGTTGAATATCAAAATATTAGTCACAATGCACTAAAAGCCTGAAAGGGAAGGAAATGTAACTTTATATCCTTGAAAATATATCCTTAAATGGAAATGTTCTGAATGTCAAGGTTAATTGGAATAGCCTATTACATACCCTGAATTGTTCCATGGTTCTACATCTTTAAACCAAGGTTTTCTTGCACAGCTTTTGGGTTTTCCTGTGACTCACTTGGCCTCTTGTTGACAAAAGCATATGAGCCTTTACCTCCTGGGTGATCCAGAGAATGGACCCAGGGAATTCACCTTCCTCTTTGAGAACCAACTCTTCAGCATGCCCTTTGATGTAACGAGGGCATTTTGCTCTGTAGTCCTGTGATGCCACTGTCCTCACAGAATTTTTACCATTTGTCCAGGTTAGTGTCTTTCTTTCATGAATTCTGGGTCACCTTTCTTGTTTGGCTGCAAACTTGTGCTCAGATATCTGACCGAGAAAATCTGTGAGGCAATTTGCAAGTCCTTGCTTGCCCAAAAATGCTTTTCTGTTCTGCTTAGTCATAGGTTGGCCGCCATTTTCTTCCCAGAGTCCTGGAGGCTTGTCTCTATTGGCATCCAAAACCCAATTGTGCTCAAACACACACACACACACACACACACACACACACACACACCATCTGCCACTCTCTGTAGTTGATTTAATTTCCCCCTCACCAAGCTTTGGGGATCTTCTTTCTCCTTGATGTTCTCACATATCTCTGTAGTAAAACTACATGTGAATAGTAGCCAGCACTATGTTCTTTTGATTTTTGGTTCCTTCTCATTTTCTTTGTTCTCTTCTGTATGAGTTTGCTAAGGCTGCCATCACAAGGTACCACAGGCTGGAAGGCTTAAACAACAGAAAATTATTTCCTCATGATTCTGGAGGCTTGAAGTCCAACATCAAGGCATTGGCTAGATTAGTTTTGTCTGAGGCCTCTCCCCTTGCCTTAGAGAGAGTTGCCTTCTCTGTCTTTACATGGTCTTTCTTCTGTGTGTCTGTGTCCTGATCATTTCTTCTTCTAAGAACACAAGTGATCTTGGATCCCTCATGACTTCATATTACCTCTTGAAAGGCCCTGCCTCCAGGGGCTCCTGGGTGGCTCAGGAGTTAAGCATCTGCCTTTGGCTCAGGTCATGATCTTGGGATCCTGACATCAAGCCCCACGTCAGGCTCTGTGCTCAGTGCAAAGTCTGCTTTTCCCTCTCCCTCTGCCCCTCCCCTGACTCACACACGCATGCACACACATTCTCTCTCTCAAATAAATAAAATCTTTGGAAAAAGAATAAAGACCCTACCTCCAAATAGAGTCACATTCTGAGGTCCTAAGGGTTAGAATTTCAACATATGAATTGGGGGAGGGGTGGAGATACAATTCAGCCCATAACATCTTCTTTGTGTCTTCTGGATTGTTCTTCTGTCCTGCACACATGCATATACGTACAGCTGTCCTAGCAGACCTGGAAGGAAATCCTCTGATGCTGGTCATCTGGCCCTTTCCTAATCTTTGCATCTGAGTCTCTGAGCTGGAAGTGCCTCTGGGATGTCCTCCGTGGCTCAGAACCATCGTTTTGATTTCTTCAGAAATGTCTCCAAAACTTTGGAAACTTCGAACAGTCTAAATTGTGGTACCCTTTCTTGTTCTCGTGCTATGCTAAAGCTTCATTCTTCTTTAAAATTTTCTTTGTTGAGATCTTGGGAAAGGACACATCAAATCAGCAACATTTTACCCCACCAACCCACTCATGTAGTAAAAGATAAGCCAGAAACTTTTTTCTTTTAATTGGCATCATCATATCTTCCGTGGATCAAAAATTGATTATTTCAGCAACGTCCAAGAGACAATCCATAAAATAGGGAAGTTCTGAAAAACCAATGTCAGAAACTAACTGATAAATAGAACAACTTTGAGAAAGTCAGGAGGTTGGATTTTGGAATAATATATGAATTAAAGAAAGAGTAGAGAGAATTTTAAACAAAGTGGAATCATTTTAATTATGTGGTATCTAAGTTGCAAGACTTCTGTGGACTACCTTCAACAGGGTCCTTTAAGTAAAGCGACAGGGGCGTCTGGGTGGCTCAGTTGGTTAAGTATCAGACTCTTGATTTCAGCTCAGGTCATGATATCAGAGACATAAGATCAAGGCCTGCACTGTGCTCCACGTTGAGCATGGAACCTACTAAAGTTTCTCTCTCCCCACTCTCCGTTTGCCCCTCCCTCCAATTACACATGCTTGCTCACTCTCTCTCTCTCAAAAAAAAAAAAAATGACAATACTGGGGTCAAAATTAGTTGAGAATTTGATATTGATCTTTCTCATGAATTTTTTAACATTACATATTGCTATATATGATTATATTTACAAACAATGTTCTTGAGCATGTTTTTAAACTTAATATATTATGGTCCTGTGTGTGTTCTGCAATATTATATATTATAAAGTACAGTATAAAATATTTTAATACTCATTCATATTTCTATAAGTATCCCTTATCCACTCACACAAACCACTATATAATATTCCATTGCATGTACATACCACAATTTATTTACCCATTGTTCAAGGAAATTTAGGTTGCTTCCATTTTTCCAAAGAGTACTCCAATTCCCATTCATATATATATATATTTTTTTGTCCCCATGTACAAAGTTTCTCTAGAGAGGTGGCCTTTAAAGCTTTTATCATGGGGTGCCTGGGTGGCTCAATTGAACAATTGCTTTCGGCTCAGATCATGATCTCAGAGTCACGGGCTCAAGTCCCACATTAGGCTCCCAGCTCCATGAGGAGTCTGCTTCTCCCTTGGACCTTCTCCCCCTCATGCTCTCTCTCACTTTCTCTCTCTCAAATAAATAAACTAAAAAATCTTTATAAAGCTTTTACCATATCCAATAAAAATATTTAAGCATACACCTATAATGCATGAACATGGTATCTTGTTAAAAATTACATATAATTATTATACCAAATTAATTTGAGCATTATAAGTAATTTAAAAATATATTAAGACAATGAGAAAAAATTTTAAAATTTTACAAGTATTTTTATTCATTGGTGGTACAAAAATCATTAATGTAGATGACGTGATTATATATGCTTCATTAATTTCTAAAAAGCTCAATTTCAGATTTAGAAAAATCTAGGCATAGGCTTGGTTTTAAGTTCGGTTCATTTCAAGCCTTGGTTTCCATGACTGTCATACTGAAAAAGATCCTTCAAGGAGGGAGTATGGTCATAAGTAGATTAAAGAGAAATCTTCATTTAAAGGTAGTTGTGGGTTTATTAAAATCATTTTGGTACTGAGACAACCAGATACCCACATGCAGAAGACTGATGTCAGACCCTACCTGAGGCCACACACAAAAAGGTACGCAGTGGATCATAAACCCAATATAGCTAAAACAATAAAATTTATAAAGGAAAAATAACAATAAATCTTTGTGACCTGGGGTTAGACAGCAGTTTCTTGGATATGAAGCAAAAAAAAAAAAATAGTCACTTGGGCTTTGTCACATGGAGAGCTTTCGTGCTACAAGTGATACCATCATGACAATGAAAAGACAGCTCACAGAATGAGAGAAAATATTTGCAATCATATAATTGATAAGAGATTCTGAATACAGAAAGAACTCTTCCAGCTCAAAAGTAAAAAGACAAATAACCCAATATTTTAAATGGGCAAAGCAAAGAAACAAAGAGACGTTTCTCAGGCGCCTGGGTGGCTCAGTGTGTTAAGCATCTGCCTTCAGCTCAGGTCATGATCTCAGGGTCCTGGGATCGAGCCCCACATCAGGCTCCCTGCTCAGCAGGGAGTCTGCTTCTCCATTTCCTGCTCCCCCCTTCTTGTGCTCTCTCTCTGTGTCAAATAAATGAATGAAATCTGCAAAAAAAGAGAGAGAGAGAGAGAGATTTCTCCAAAGAAAACACAGAAAAAGTCAAAAAGTCTAGGAAAGAAGCACAACATCATTAATTATTGGGGAAATGAGAATCAAAACCACATTGAGGTACCACTTCACACTCACCAGGCTCTAACCAAAAACCAAAACAAAAGCAACCAAAAAAAACGGTAATAACTTGAATCCTAAGTTCAGGGATTTCAAGTGTGGTGGGGATGTGGGCAAATCAGAAGACTTTTACACTGCTGGTGGGAATATAGAATGATAAAATGATGCAGACAATTCGAAAAACTGTTCCTCAAAACGTTAAACAGAGAGGTACCCTATGAGCCAGCCATTTCACTTGGAGATGTCCACCCGACTATGCGGCTCCTGCTGGCCTGGGTCAGGAGTCCGTTCTCCGTGAGGCAACTGTCACACTACACCAGGTCAAACACCCAGGGACTTTAGGGCCTGAGCTTAATTCAGAGAAATGTTGTCCCAGTACCTAGAATTTGACCTAGATTTCATTTCATTACTTGTCGCCGCAAAGCCGATGAAATGTGGCCACATGTTTTAGGAATGTACAGGTTAAATTGTTGTCTGCAGTCCTTGGGTGTACAATCTTATGACTGCCCATCCTTTAAATTGGATAATCTGCTGAAAGCTTTCCCTCAGCTGTCCAGGAAAAATCCACTAGTCGCATTGGGGGCAGCACCCTTCTGGCCGGTGTGCTGTAAGAGCGTCAGGGTCTCCTATAGCCTGGAACACTAAAGGAAGGGATCCAGTCTTCTGTCCACACTGCCGCCATCTTTATGGTCCTTTGAAGGCAAGCCACTTAGGCATAGAGGACTTTGCAGCCCCTGGAAGCCTTGAGACCCGACACCAAGGCTGTGGGTGCTACACTCCCATCTGAGCTCTAACAGAGCGCCGGTCACCATCGCTCTAGGTCCTGCAGACACAGAACTCCCTCTCGGAGGTGAGCTCCCCAAAAGTGTCTCTGGTTGCCAGACCGACCCTTTTGTTCCTCTCCACTCCTTGGGGCCCTTCCCTGCTCAGGCTCCTAGAGGTAAAGGACAGAAAATGGCCTTCCATCCCCAACCCCCAGAAAGAAGCCCGGACGGAGACTGTTCGGGTACTAAGCAACTTCTACTTCGATCCTTTAGTTCTAAAGCTTCTGAGCAAGGGACACAAAGCGTTGCCTTCTTGAAGGGGGAATCAGTTCCTGTTTCCATCCAGGTTAATATCCCAACACACCATTGAACTAGCTCCTAGTTACCAGGCGCTCAGAACAGGTCCAGCAGAAGACTGTGGTCAGCTCTTGTGGGTGTGTTCTCATGAGTGTGTGAACGATGAGAAACCTGGGGTGGCTTCCTTCTGCCTTTATAAGTCTAGAACTCTTCCATAAACATCTTAAGTCCCTTCCAAAAGAGATCACAGTCCAAGTTCAGGGGCATATACTGTGACCTAAATAAAATACCCCTTGGTCCAGTCACAAGACGGATGGTTTTCTGTTTCAGATTTATAAACAGTTTTGATGAGAGCTTCAACATCACCATGGGCGACAAGGTTTATGTGAATGTCACCGGTCACAATGCCAGCGAGTATCAGTTTTTTCCTTCGGGCGTGTAAGTACCTCCCTGGACACTGTGCTCCCAAGTTCAAGGATTTCAAGTATTTTTCCTTAAACACTACATTGAAGCTGTTAATACCAGGAAAGTTAACCTATATCATTCTTTCTTTCCACAGAAAACACTTCACAATAAGCTCAACCCAACAGATTCCGCAACAGTGTGAAAGAAATTTCCAATCATCCAACCTTGAATTTGGTAGTGCGTTCACCTATGTCATTGGAAGGACGGTCAGTGAGTCATTCTGTTGAATCAGAAGTTCTACTCAAACATTTAGGACTTGGTCATGACTGAAATGGAGGAACATTAGCATCTGTGTTTTAAACGGGCTTCGAATTCATTCAGTTGGTCACTAGTTCTTTAACTTACTGTTGACTTCAGTGTGCTGTTATTTTTAGAATAAAAATAAACAGACGACTGAGGCTGACTAAAAGCCCACGTTGACCAGCATCTGATGCCTCTTCCTAGACTATTTACATGGACTTACAAACTTTGAGTTCAAAGAGATGGCAATGTTTTAAACAAACCCTGACTTCCACTCTACTCTCTGATTTAAGAGAAAAACGCTAGTGAACAGATTTTCAAAACCAAGGCCATTTCATCATGAGGACAAAAGGCACTGTTGCATATTTAAAAAGGGTATAAGGGCTCGTATTGCATAGAGCGCTGGGTGTGGTGCATAAACAGTGAATGTTGGAAAACTGAAAAAGATAAAATTAAGATGTTAGATAAATAAATATATAAATAAATTAAAAGTGTATTTATTTGACAAATCGTATGACATGGTTCTAGAAGTCCAAGCTCCATTTGCCTGTTTGAGCAGTTTTTATTCTAGAAGCAATTCTCCATTTTAATATCTTCTCTCTTCTGCCGTATTGGTTTAGGATGCCGGCTGCCCTGAACTGCACATCTTTGAAGATATTTCACCCAACACAGTTAACATTGCTCTGCAGATCCCACAGTATTTCCTCCTCACCTGCGGCGAGGTGGTTTTCTCTGTCACGGGACTGGAGTTCTCATATTCCCAGGTCTCTTGGTCATTGTTTCTACCACCCTTCCCCTACCCCCACCCCTGTTGGAACCTAACTTCAATAAGCAATATATTTATAGTTTAAAAGATTCTGGGGGGAGGAGGGAAGGTTCTAGAAAGCATTATGGTATCTTCCATCAAACAAGGTGTTTGAGATACCCCAAGTCATGTTTTTATCAAGTAATAATATGACTCTGTTTAACTTCTTGGGTGCGTGTATCATATGACTCTGCATTCCCACATCCTATACCGGAGATTTACAGCCCTGAAGGGGGAAAGCTGTATTAATGATCGTGACCAGGGCCACGATAGGCAGCAGAGTCTATGTTCTGAAACAACTAAATGATATCAACTGTTCATTATGGTGTTCATTTCTGCGTTGTGTCCTCATAATCGTTAGGGCTCAGGTGAGATTTCTTCATAGCTACCAGTAAACATGCTGGTTAAAGACTAGCTTTTAAAAGTTAAAAGATGTTGCTTTCAACTGTTCAAGATGAGACTCATGAGGTAAATTCTGCTGATTAGAAGCTAGTTTCTCAACAATTTCATCAAAATACAGTTAAGGTCATTGTGACCCTACAACGCCTAGCACCTTTAAGTCTTGCCGTAAAGATCATAAATATGAGTTGGACAGTCCCTTTCTGTGATGACCTCACAATCAAATAAAATGACATATTATAGGTGACAAGAGGGGTGTCATGACGTGACAGGGAAGCTCACAGCAGAGCAAGCTCCTGGCCCAGAGAGTAGCCTCCATTTAGGGGAAAGAGAACGGGATGGATGGCTCTGCTTGGAAACTCTTCTGTAGACATAGAATTGATTCATCTATAGATTTGCCCATTTAACTCAGGACAACAACGTTGTGAGGATGTGGAGAGTGGGAAACAAGGAATTCTTGTATGTTCGTACATGAGTGTTTGGGGTGTCTTGTTATCCAAGTGATAAGCCTTTTTATATGTGAGCCCACATATTAATGCAAAACCCACCTTCGATGCGCATTTTTAGGGCGGACTGCCCAACTGAATGCATCGGTAAGTTGTATTCTCCAGCTGTGCCGTTGCCATCTAGAGACTGACTGTGTGTTGTTTCCCCAGGCCCCCTCCAACATGAAGTCAGTGCTTCAAGCAGGATGGCTGTTGACGGTGGCTGTGGGCAACATAATTGTGCTTATCGTAGCGGGAGCAGGCCAGTTCAGCGAACAGGTACGGGGTGGGGTAAGAGACTGTGTGTGTCTGTGGTCATCATGACGACTCTCCCTCACCACCTCTGTATACACATGGTCATCTAAGCTAATGGTTGAATAAAACCAGCCAGAGAGGGTGATGACCAAATGCGTTTTTGGCCAAATGTGTGCCAATTCTTTGTATTTCTACTTGGTTGTGTACAGTTAGATAGTGACAGACAAAATACCAAGATTTGCCTTAACATACCTATAACCTAATGTGGTTTACTATCAAAGGAAAGATCTTTCCTAGCTTCTGTGAATGTTGCATAATGGCCCCAAGCCAGACATGTTTTCCAGAAAGTTTCATGTTACCTAAAGTTAGAGCCCTTCTGAGGGTAGTTGTAATTTTTCCAGCTAACATAAAATGAGAGCGTCTCTGAAACTGAAACCTTCTCCTTTAGCATTTCAGTATTTGTCTTGTAAGGGGGTCATCCCTTACCCTATCAGTTTGTTCACTTCCCCCTCCAAGTCCCATCAGAGCACGCACCCCTGCTGTGAGCTCGTAATGTGGGGGTCTTAACTTAGAACACTTCTCTGCATGTTATTTTCTGCTCAAGAGTACTGTATGCTGTTCTGTTGGTCCCCATCCTTCTAGAGGACAGCTCTGTTCCTTAACATGGGTTTTTCAGAAATTTTCTCTCATCCTCCCAGAGTCTTGGTTTCTGCCCTCCCATGCAGTTCCAAAAAAATGTTATCTTTGTACTTGGGCATTCAAGAAAAGCTGGCCATTCCGGATCTATGGTAGTCACCTACCAATTCTCCATCACAGTTCAATTGCAGAGCACCTCCTACCTAGACATAACAAGAAAATGTACTCCCAAAGCACACTGTAACATAACCTGTGTTGTTTTTGTTTCTTTCTTGCTCCAACTCTAATTCCTTCCAAGTGGGCTGAGTACGTTCTATTCGCGGCATTGCTCCTGGTGGTCTGCGTGATATTTGCCGTAATGGCCCGGTTCTATACTTACGTCAATCCAGCGGAGATTGAAGCCCAGGTTGATAATGAGGATGAGAAAAAGAATGTGGAGAAGATGAATATATATTCCACGATACATCCCGTCTCACAGACACAGATGTGAATGTCAGGAAGCAAGTGGAGGATGGACTGGGGTCCAGAACATGCCCTGACTTCTGTCCCCTGGTGGCAGGACACTCTGATGGGGAAGACTTTGGAATTGTGAACCAAGAAAGCTCTTTTCCAAGCAGCCAGCAATGAACCTAAACCTCAGGAAGAAGTCTTTTTCTTTTAAGAAAAGTCATATTTAAAGCATGTACGCACACACACACACACACATACACACTCATTTCTACAATGGCGAATCCATACCCTGCCTTTAACTCCTTTTCTACCACGTAAATGAAGTTGTTTTGGACTAACTAGTCATTTTCTGAAAGAGTGGCAAAGTTGTATATTGTTTGCATTCTAACTCTCTTTGGAAACACTGTTAAGTGAGGCAGGAGCCGGTGTGAAAAGTGAATTTACATGCTTTAGAATGGCATGTGATAAGCACCAGCTAGTATTAATGGATAACTTTACCTTTTGTTTTTTTGTTTTTTTTTTTTTTCCATGCCCTACCTCTTCTTAAATTTTGTGTGACTCAAAAGACCACTCAGGTAATGGCCAGTAATGATTTTTTGGAGTTTCAAAGATGAAATACATTCCTGTTCTTACGAATAGGAGTCTGTAAGTTTTGGGGGTAGGATAAAAAATCTGTGTCCCAATTCTAAAAGTTGTGTGCACTCAATAAAATGGCATCAGAAGTTGGAAAACAGGGGCGCCTGGGTGGGTCAGTGGGTTAAAGCCTCTGCCTTCGGCTCAGGTCATGATCCCAGGGTCCTGGGATCGAGTCCCGCATCGGGCTCTCTGCTCGGCAGGGAGCCTGCTTCCTCCTCTCTCTCTCTGCCTGCCTCTCTGCCTACTTGTGATCTCTGTCTGTCAAATAAAATAAATAAAATCTTTAAAAAAAAAAAGAAGTTGGAAAACAGTATGAACAAAAGCAATATCCACATACAATAAATTCCAGGAACGTGAATTTTTGTGAAGGTTTGTTTCTTCCTGGTCCTCTTTTTTCCCTGGGGAAATAGATACCCAAGATTCTCTTCAATTACTTAAGAGTTTTGTATATGCATATGTTTGTACCACCTTGAAGTGTTTTTCTCAATACAACCATTTTTTCTGCTCAAAAAAAATTCCTTTTTAAAAAAACATTTATTTCTTTTGCGGGGGGGGCGCACGTGGAGTGGCAGAGAGAGAGAATCTCAAGCAGATTCTGTGCTGAGTGCAGAGCCTGATGCAGGGATCGATCCCATGACCCTGAGATCATGACCAGAGCTGAAATTAAGAGTCGGATACTTAACCAACTGAGCCACCCGGGCACCCCTCAAACAAAAATTCTTATAAAATAGTGTAAATTATTCATGCTTGATTCATCCTATCAGTACTTCTTTCTGGTATCAGACCCAGAGTAGTTCTACTTTGTCCCTCTGACAAAAACAAGCAGCGGTTCTCAAACTTTCGCACAGCTCTGAACACCAGAACTTGCTCATGTGATCCATCCAGAGGAAGGGCCCGTGGTGGACTTCCAAGATGCTTCATGCACAAACTCTTCATCGCACTGTGGACGTGGACTGAAGGGGAGGCTCCAAACCCAGAGTGAGAAACACGATGTGAGTCAAACCCTGCTGAAGGCCTTTCCTACCCTTCGGATCAAGCCCTCCTTCCTTCACTGAGGCTTACAAGACTTTTTTTAAAAATTATTTATTTATTTATTTGACAGAGACACAGCGAGAGAGAGAGAACACAAGCAGGGAGTGGGAGATGGAAAAGCAGGCTTCTTCCTGAGCAGGGAGCCCGATGCGGGGCTTGATCCCAGGACCCTGGGATCATGACCTGAGCTGAAGGCAGACGTTTAACGACTGAGCTACTTAGGTGCCCCAAGGCTTTTTTTTTTTTTTTTTTTTTAAACTCATGACACATCTCCTTTCTCTCTGCTCACGTGGATCAGACCAACAGTGACTTTCTTCTGGAATGCATCAAGTTCTCATTTCCAGGTCAGGAGAAAAATCAAGTCCTGAGACACATTCTCTACCAGCTTTGCCCACCCAGGCCGCCTGGCTGAGTTCTCTTCACTTTCAGGCTTAAGGCCTCTTCCCCGGGGAGGCTTCCCATCCCCCAGCCCGGCTGTCCCACTCCCTACGCCCGGGTGGGTCCTCACTGTCCAGCTCTGTCTAGGATGAAAGCTGAAAGCTTGTGTCTTGTTCTGTGGAACTCAGGACCCTGTGTAGTCAGAGCGTCCCACACGCTGTTGCATGAAGTTTACAAGCATTGGTGCTTGCGACAACCCTATAATGTAGAGTACTGCAGTTATTTCCATTCCACAGAGGGAAACACAGCCGCAGAGTAACCAAGTAATCTGCTGAAGGTCACGTCCACAGTCTGGTTCCAGAGCCCAGGCGGCGGGCCACGCCACAGACCTGTCGATTTCATGGACAGCGTGGATTAAGTCCGTGTGAGCCTTACAACAATCCGAAAGAAGGCCTTATTTCTCCCATTTCCGAGATAAGAAAACTGAGGAACAACCAGCTGAAGTTACTTGGCCCGGGCCATCTCCCCAGCAGAGGGCCAAGCCAGGGTTTGAATGCAAGCCAGTGGGAACGGAAAGGCCTGCCTGCTAAGCCCCTGGGCTATTCTGTGTCCTTCCGCAGAGCAAAATGCAAACACGTGATGGGGCACCGGGTGAAGGGGGTCCCAGAAAGCTTTGGAGAGGCGGCCTTTCCCTCGAGGCCCAAGATGGACAGCCCAGGGCGGGGCTAGATGGACAGGACGGGCCGTCTGTGGGGAGGAGAGACTGAAACAGAAAAGATGAAACACAGTTTACCATCGTAGGAACGGGGCCTCCTCTAAGGCCTGGGTGATGTCCTGGAAACATCAGAAGCCGCTCCCAGGGGTTGCCAGTGGGAGGCCCAGCTGTGGCTCCTGGGGGTGGGCTTAGCTCTGAAGACCGCCTGCTGCAGTGGCCTGGGGGGAGGGGGGAGGCCTGAGCCACAGAAGGAGTGGTGGCCCGCGACAGCGCAGGAGAGAAAAGGAGACAGGGGAGTCACAGCAGGCAGAAGACAGCAGAGAATGTGCAAGCTGTCCTGAGTATTTTTTTTTAGTTGCGATAAAATACACGTCACAAAACTTGCCCTGTGGCCGTTCTTAAGTGTAGAGTTTGGTGGCATGAAAAGCACTGGCCTCGCTGAACAAGAACTCCCCATTCCCGGATGCCAGGCTCCGTGGGTTAAGTGTCTGCTTTGGCCTCAGGTCATGATCTCGGGGTCCTGGGATCGAGTCCTGCATCAGGCTCCTTGCTCAGCCGGGAGCCTGCTTCTCCCTCTGCCTGCTGCCCGCCTCCGCGCCCCCCCCCCCCCCGCCCCGGCTTGTGCTCACACACTCTCTCTCTGACAAATAAATAAATAAGAACTCCCCATTCCCAATCCTCCCAGAAGCCCCCAGAAAAATAAAAAGCAATTCTTCCACCCGCCTCCGCCCTGTGGTGTCAGAGGGCCTGCGGGCTTTCTAGATTGAAGCCCACGCGTCAGGGGTCTCTGACTCCAACCTGATCAAAGGCAGTGGAGAGAGGGCCCGGGCCTGGGGCTCTGAGGTCCGCCTGCGGAGACACAGCCCCACTCCAGCCCCAGGTTCCCTCATCCTGCTAACCCCTGCCAGTTCACGGCCGATGGAGTTTTTGCTGGATGTCAGCTCTGGTTCGCTCTAGCGCGACTTGGCAGCTCCGTGGGAGTGAAAGGAACCGGGGCTGGGTGTGTCGCGCTGCCCTCTCCGAGCCCCTGGAGCACAGCCAGGCGCGTCTTCCAGCCTGGTGGGAGTCGGAGGACCTTTGTGCCTGGGGGCCGTCGGGGCCTGAGTGCTGAGCCGAGAAAGTGCTTCCCTGAACCGTCCTCCTGAACCGCTCTCCGCCGTCCTCACCAGGAAAGAGAGAGAGAAGGGAGCTTCAGGCCACCTGTCGCGGAACTCGGTTTGAGAGCTTTCCCCAGTCTTGCTGTCACCCGCAAAAGATGCCGAGAACCCTTTCCTAAGCTGGACTTTGGGGCCCAGACGACTGCTGTTCAGCTGGGATTTGGGTCACGGGTCAGAATGAGCTAACCTTGGCTAAGTCATTAGACTTACTGGGACCCTTGGGGGCGCGTGGGTGGCTCAGTGGGTTAAGCCGCTGCCTTCAGCTCAGGTCATGATCTCAGGGTCCTGGGATCGAGCCCCGCATCGGGCTCTCTGCTCAGCGGGGAGCCTGCTTCCTCCTCTCTCTCTGCCTGCCTCTCTGCCTGCTTGTGATCTCTGTCTGTCAAATAAATAAATAAAATCTTTAAAAAAAAAAAAAAAAAAAGACTTACTGGGACCCTTGGTTCGGTTTACAAACCTGGAAGGAATTCTTAACAGGTCCCGCTCCGCTACCCAGAGTCACACTCAGGTGTGTCCAATGAGCATTAAGGACCTACAGCTGGCGTCCCCGGAACCAGGAACCAGGGAGAGCTTCTCGGAGGAAGTAGTGTTCTAAGAAGAGGAAGCGGGAGATTTCTCTCTCTCTCTCTCTGCTCTCCCTCCCCCCTCTCCCTCCTCCTCTCCCCACAACCCTCTCTGTTTCTCTCTCTCTCCACACAGCAAAAAGGCAGCTATCAGGGCATCTGGGTGGCTCAGTCGGTGAAGCATCTGCCTTTAGACAGATCTAAAGATCAGTCCTGGGATCGAGCCCCAAGTCGGGCTCCCTGCTCAGTGGGGAGCCTGCTTCTCCCTCTCCCTCCGCCCCTTCCTTCCCCACCCGCATCTTGTGTTTGCTCTCTCTCTTGCTCGCTCATTCTCACTCTCTCAAATAAATAAATAAAATCTTAAAAAACAAAAACAAAAACAAAAAGGCAGCTGTCATAAGGCAGGAAGAGTGGCCTCAGCAGAAGCTGACCCTGACGGCACCTTGACCTTGGATTTCCAGCCTCCAGAACTGTGAGAAAATTATTTTCTGTTGTCTAAGCCCCCAGGCCTGTGGTATTGGTCATGGCAGCTCATGCTGACGAATTCAGGGACCAACCGTCCCTGTTGGTCCGGGTCTAAGGGAGTTCCAGGGCCAGCCCTGGGAGTATCCTCACGATGGGTGAGACTGGGTATGGAAAATGCCTGGGCTTCATACAGTGCAAGGTATGCAGTAGGTGCTCTATAAATGCTAGCAATTATTATTTTATCCCTTCAACAACTACTTAGTAAGCACCTGCTCTGTGCTAAATGTGCTTTAAAATACTGGTGGTTACAAAATAGATAAATAGATAAACTTGGGAAGTTTACAAGCCTTTAGTTA